ATATTTATTCACCCAAACCATATTTGGTATCAATGTTATACCTAACAGCCAGGAAATTTCGTTATAAGAAATCATTATTATTATTATTATATACATAACAACGTGAAATCAAAACTGCCAGTTCTTTAGCTGGTATTGGCCTTCATACACGTCAAGTTCTTCCCAAGAACTTTGGATGTCAAAAAATATTAATGTGGTATATGTGCAGGATCCAAGCAATATTGCTTTTTGTAATTGACACATTATCTAAGAACCTTCCAAAACAAATTTCATGGTCCAGTGTGCCAATAAACACAGATCGCCAGAGCTAGTTAATGCCATAATCTTTCAACTTCAATTTTCAGGTCTTGATACTTTCTGATCTTTTCCAGTGCTTTCTTTTCTATTCTACTATCCCTTGGTATTGTCACATCGATTACTTACATTCTTCTTTTAAACCATAGTTACTGTGATGTGTTATGAGCCAAAACTTTATCGGTTTATATTCAGAAATCCCACAATATTTTAACCTGTTCACATTTTTAACTTCTTTTTCAACTCCATGTTCCTACCAATTTTTCATTATCAGCACATAATAATTTCTACAGAATTTCCAGGAAACCATTTTGGCAACTGCATCATGTCATTGTTTATAACCAGTTTGTGAAATCTTATGGACTGACCTGAATATATAATTTACTACACAAGGAGATTATTATTATGGTTTTCACATAATTGGCCAGATGTTCAGACTGGACTTGATATACCCATTGAGTCCTTCCCAAAGATGTGCGATAGGTAAATGTTTTTTTTTTAATGGGGTTAAACTGTTCCAAATAAAACTACCTTTTGTGATTGACTGATGGGGATTTTTTATTGCCAATTCAGACTGGCCCTGGCATCCCCATCCCACCCACTGAGTCCTTCCCAAGGACACGGGATGTTAAGCTGTCCCAAGTAAAGCTGATTTTTGCAGTTGACTGGTGGGGATTTTGTCAATGCTGATAGAGTTTAAGTGGTGGTCCCGATGTTTTGGAATTGCATTCAAGACATTATTGATACTATCTTTTCTTTCTATTGCCATGGTCATTTTACTTCTATTTGCAGATATTTGCATTTTGTGATTTTCTCTGGTTCTTTCTCTTCTCTCTTGTTGTCTCCATATACTACAATGCAGGGGTGGGATTCAAATTTTTTAACAACCAGTTCTGTGGGCGTGGCTTAGGTGGTGGCCGTGGCTTGGTGGTCATGTGACTGGGTGAACATGGCTTGGTCATGTTATTGGCTGGGCATGGCCAACTCAATATCACTCACGTCGAGGCACGCATCTCCTTGCCTGGCCTCTCATGACTGTGGGGATGCTGCAACAGTCATAACTGTAAAAAATGGTTATAAGTCACTTTTTTCAGTGCCATTGTAACTTTGAATGGTCACTCCACACAAGCAAAGTACCAGCAAAGGAGGGGAAAAACCTCCAGAGAAGTTCCTGAGACATGAAGTCTAGTCCTGCCAAGAATGTAATAAGGGCTAATGGAGAGGCAGTTTCTGTAAGCAACACCAGAATGTTTCCTTCCTCCCTTCCTTATAGGATTAGGCCAGTAATTTCTTCTAACAACCGGTTCTCCAAACTGCTTAGAATGTTAACAACCGGTTCTAACGAATAGATGCGAACTGGTAGAATCCCACCTCTGCTTCAATGTCCATTATCCAGACTTTTTTGCCTTTCTTATCAACAATTGTTAACTTAACAGTTAACTGTTATGTGGCAAGTGCCTGTTTGAATTCTAAATACCCAGAGCACTTTAGTTTTCTTCATTTTCTATTATGTTGTCTGTTTTATAGTCCCACCAGTTCTCACTTGCAGGCAAATAATATTTCCTACAGATATTCCAATGCTACATTGCATGCAGTTGTTTGTCCTATATCATTGTTGTTACTTTGTCATGTTTCTGTTTGTAGTCAGTCTGTGCAGTTCTTGCAGCAACTAGCTAAGTGATCCACTGTTTCTTCAGCTTCTTTGCAGAGGTGGCATTTGCTATCTGTTGCTATCTTCTCAATTCTGGCCTTGTATGCATGTTCTTAAGCCTTGGTCTTGTCAGCCAGATTTAGCCCCTCTGTCTCCCTTTTTTAACTTTCCTGCTCTAGCCATTGCCAGTTCTTATTATTATTTGCTGTGCCTACTAGGTTTTTTTTTTTAATGTATTGGTCATGTAAAACTTTGCCTTGCTATTTTCTAGTCTTCATTTAGTTTTTCTTGTAGGCCAGTTTGGTCTCTCCAACATTCAGTGCATCTTCTTCACTGTCTTTCTGACATTCTTCCATTGCCCTTTTTCCTTCTTCAAGTGTCAGATGTACTTGCAAAACATTCCACGCCCACCTATTTTTCCTTGGTAAGTAACATCTGTCAACATCGCTGCATGGATGAATTTATTTTTATAATTATTGATATGCCACCCAGCTCCCAATGACTTTTACCTTTTAATAGACATGTCAAGCCCAACACTGCTGGGCAAATCAAGGATGCAAAGACCACTCGGACTTTGTTAAGATGTTTTTAATGCCGGTCCTAAGATAAATAAAACAAAAATCTCAGAAACTGTAGGAGATAGCTCCAACCCTCACTTACAGACAAATTCTCTTTGAATGATTTGAAATGCTTCTACCCAGGTACCTTGCCACCTGGCTGGAGCTGTTATTTATAACAGAACCTGCCAATACATTTGCCTCCTGTGTTTTGATTGTATATACACATACTGTCCCTTTTTCATTATTTTCCTAATTTCACCACAATGTCCCACATACCAGAACGACAGCACAGGTTGTGAAAGCCCCTTCTCTCTTTCCCATATCAAAGTTAAGGAGATAATGCCTGCTGAGATCACCACCAGAAGAGAACACCAGCAACTACCAAGTTGCTATCCCAAAGGAGCAATCAGGGCCATGATGTGAAGACAGAAAGCTTGTGTAAAAAGAGGGTTGAGACCTCTAGACCTGGCCCTTTCAGCTATTCTCCTCTACATGGTGACAGCAATAGGATCAAGTGAACCTGGGAGGACAATTGAGGACTATGTCTATTTTTCCTCCTTTTTGCATGTCTTAAGGATTCTGTTGTTTCACTCCTGGAACACAGGCAGGAGCAGGTTGGTGGACAATTTTTCTCCCTAAATTCTTTTTGTTCTTTTTGGTGGAGAAATAAAAGGCATATGCATATACAACAGTTATTCTTATTTCTGGATTTGACAAGCTACCCCGTTTCCCCAAAAATACAACCTACCCTGAAAGTAAGTCCTAGCTTGATTTTTACACGTGCGTCCAATATAAGTCCTACCCCGCACAAATAAGCCTTAATTAAGATCCCTCCCACTCCAGAGTGGATGGATAAAAGTTAAGCTAGGGTGGGGATGGGGGAGTGGAGCTACCCTACTACTTACCTTTGGACAGTTGTAGCCAGGCCTCACACACCCTGACACCTGCCTTGCTGGCCCATTTCTTCTGAAGCCGACAAAGCTCGCAAGGTTTTCCTGAAGGTCTCTGTAGCTGATAACAAAGCTCCGGATCGATCTGGAGCTCTGTTATCAGCTGCAAAGGCCCTCAGGAAAGCCATGTCAGCTGCAGAAGAAGTTCCTGAAGGCCTCTGACAGCCAAAAGGAGGCAGGGGCTGATGCGCGCAAGTGAGGTTAGACAGTGAATGACTTCCCCCCAAAATAAAACCTGGTGCCTTTTTTGGTGGCAAAAAAATAAATA